CCCCTTCTGCTGGTTTCCGCCACCTCTGAATTCACAGAAGCTACTCTGTGGTCTATGAATTCCCAACACCAAAGCTAAGCTATGTTCTATGTGGAAGGAGAGAGAAGAGGTCTTTCCCCTTTGTCACACTTGTCACCTGCCACCAAAGTAGGGCTCCCTGTGCCTTCAGTGACTCTCAAGAGAGTTCTGTGACAATGGTTCTGCCAACCCCTGCCTGTGGCTCCTCTCCTCCTTGGGCTCGGATGAACCTGTAGTGCTGATGCAGAACCAGCCTTAGAGACAGACTTGTTTTCTTATCCTTCCTTCCAGTGGCCCTCACCCTCTAGGTGGCACAATTATGGGATATTTTCCTACAGTGAAAATGTGAAAAGTAAATGTGACTTTAGGAGTATTTCGTAATCACAGACATGATCAGAATCATCTTTGCATACAAAGAGAATCACTAACTGCGCCCTGATTAAAAAATCGATGTCTGTGTGGGTCCCTATTCTACTTGTAGTGAGTTTAGGCAAAAATCTTTAATTGGATTCTGCCCTTGACCCTTTTGATGCTCTTGATTTAACCAAGTGGCTCTTAGAAGAAAGCAGCTCTCAGCCTTGAGAAGTGGGAGGACTGACCACACACTGAGAAGAGGAACCTCAAGCTCCCTGCCTCTTCCTCCAAGCAGCACAAGGTCGGGGCTGGGCTATGGCTGCTCCTAGGGTTCCTGACAGGGACCAGAGACGCACCAGAGGGAAAGGAGAGGTCATTGTTCAGCTGCAGCGTGGGGTGGCGGAAGTAACAGCGAGGTGAGGAAGACCACGCCTTTACCTGTAAAATGTGCGTTTGGAGGTCATTCCAGCGTGCATTAAATCAGAGTGGGGGAGGGGAAGTGTTATTAGGTATGCTAGTGGTAATACTGATGGCAGTGTGAAAACAGGCAGGAGAACACAGTGTGGAAGATGAAAATGTCTGTGAGCCCAGACTCCAAGGCCCAGCTTGAACCCCACCGTGTCCGCAAAGCCTTCCCTGACCGCCCACTTCCTATAGCACTAACCGCCGGTAGGGGGCTGTGGCAGGGACTTAACATCGGTGTTTGCTACTAAGAGGGGGGCTAAGTGACATCCAAAGGGAGGGCAGGATCAACACCGAGGTAAGAGGGTGTTTCACATGACTAATTCTGACTGTAGGTACTGGCTCCTTTCAGATAAAGCCTTCCCAGGCAGCTGGGGAGCCACGGCCCAACTGGAAAATGCCCTCAGAAGGGAGAGTGTGTCTGAGGCACAGAGTCTGTGACGAGTCTGAATGTGGAAGGCTTGCTGGGGCTGTGTCAAGGAGTGTGGGGGAGCCACTGAGTGTACCTAAATGCACGTGCCAAACAGGTGGCCAAAGATGGCAGCGGGGGGATGGACGTGGTGACTGGAGGGGTCCAGGAGTCACCCAAGCAGGGCTGGCTAGCAGGCAGCTGGGCTCCTAAGAGGAGAGCCCAGGGCACGAGACACACCTGGAGGCCATCAGCGGTGGTAACAACGCAAATGGAACTGAGTGAACCGAGGGAGGGAGGCGGCGGCCTGGGGTGAAGTCTGGAGTAACAGACACAGGGCAGCCTGGGTGATGTGCGACTACCCACTACACTCAGCTGACTCGACACCACTGCCTTCATTACTTCAAAACTTCCGCACCTGCATCCCCGAATTGTGACTTCTCCACAAAGTGTCTAAACATAAACTCTTTTCTGCAGCCTCAAGGTGGAGAGCTACACCCGCTAGGGGCCCCAGGCAGGACGAGGCAGGGAGAACCCAGCGGGTCCAGGGATCCTGGCCGCTACATTTTGCAGCATGGGAAGACCCCAACTGCCTTACAGTCAGTCCTTCAGGTAGGGGGCTGTGGGGAACAATAAGGCTGAGGCAGCCATGACCGTGAGTTCAGTGGCTAGGGCCAAGGCCTAAGGAAAACCTGGGTATCCATCTAAAGCAGCCTGGGCCCCACCTTTCTCTGTCCCCACCTTTGAGTCTACCGCCTGGTGAGGAGTCTGGGAGTCCTTCTGGTGCCTTTTTGTCACCTCAGAGGAGCCAATGCCCTTCTTGGGGTGGAGGGCACAGAAATCAAACAAGGGGATGCAGGCACATGGAGCACCCTCCCAGGGTAACATTCACTGCTTTGGTGTCCCATGACCAGGGCTTGGCCTGTGGCCATGCAGGCCGAGCAGCTGTCCACCCATTCTGCATAGGGACCGACTTCACAAGAGCAGACGCACATGATCAAAGCTCAGGGTGTGTAAAGTCCAATGTCCAAGACCTGCTGGAGCATGTTTGGGTTCCCTGGCAGTGACAGGTAGAGCCCCAAACACAGAAGCCACCTGAAAGAGGCTTCTTCCAGAGGAAGAGTCAGGTGCACAGGAAGGGAGGGTCCACCTGGGCCATTTTCTCTCCTGGCCCACGCTGCCCTCACTTTCACGGCTGAACCTACAGTTAAACGAGTCATGAGAAAGGGAGAGAGGTGATAAATATCAAAACTGTTCACTGAAAACATGAGACACTACCACAACTCCAAGAACAGGGGAACGGGTGACACTCAAGGTGGGCGGAGGGCTACCATCTCACTTCTACAGAGCTCAGCTGGGCTTCCACAGTGAAGGCTCCAGAAGACTCAGGACTACCCTGAGAATTCCGGTGTCATTAGTGATAGAGACAGTGTCCAAAAGATAGGCGTGTGCGGAGGGGGAGCGGGCAGTGGTCTAGATCTTTCAGGAGGCTCTTCCCCTGCCTTTGGTGCTTTCCCAGTCGCCACTCGGATGTCTCTTAGGCATGTCAACTACAAAACATCCCAACCCAATCTTAGAGAATCTTCTGCCCTCGCGCCCCATCTGCATCTCCCTGAAAGATGACATGCTCTACCCCATCACCCAAGGCCTTCTACCTTTCCCCTGCTGTCCTCAATTCTGCCTCTGAAACCTCTCACATCCATCCCCTTCTCTTCAATGTAACCACTGCTCTAGTTCAGACCCTCCCTTTTAACTGGAATATGGAATACTGCCCCAACAGGTCATCCTAACTGCAGCATATCCAAGTTCCATTCAGCTATTAGATTTTGACAGTGCACCTCTGACCATGCCACCCTCAGCCTGGTGTCCAAGCTCCAGTCAGACATCAGGTTCTCCATGACCCTGACCCAGCACCCCTCCAATCTCAGCTCCCACTACTCCCCTCCTTCCACCTTACACCCCAATAGTGCTAAGCAGCTAAGGTCCCCACCCTCACCTTTAATCCGTGCGCTTCCCCTGGAACTCCCATCCCCTCCTTCGGAATCCTCCCTCTCGGCTCACATGCTTCCCTATGTGTCATCTTATTACTGCAGTTACTGGCATCTGCTGGTTCCAGTCCAGGGCTCACTCATGACCCCTGCCCCTCAGAGATAAAGATAATGGGCCAGAAAAGGTGAGCTGGGAAGGAGTGGACAGTCAGTGACCCCGGGTGAGCTGGAAAGCAGAGGAAGGGGTTAAGGAGTGATCACAGGAGTGCAAATCTCTCTGACTTCCTCTTATGTGAAAGAAAGTTCCATTCTTCAAGGTTCCATCACATCCACTCTGACAGGTACTTGCACTCTGATAGGTATTTCATACCCTGAACTAACCAGGGCATGAATGTCATCCCAATGTCACAGGCAGATTCAGAAGAGGGACTTTCCTTTGAAATCCTATGGAAACCAGAGTTCTTGGTTAACATTTTTAAACCCTTCTTAGGAGACACTCTGGAGGACAAAATGCTGAAAATTAGAAAACCGTCCTGTGTGAACCTTTCTGGTTTAGCCTGTGTGGGAGGCTGGTCTTAATGGCCAATGTTTAGAAAGCACTGGGGCTGGGTCAAGATGGCTCGAGATAAAACAGTACCATGAACCTAGAAGGCAGAACCATGTTCAAAGCCCTCTCGGTAGCACACCACACATACCCCAACCCCTTCCACCTCAGTCTTAGAATGCAGAGCTGGATCAAAGCTTCTGCCATATTGAGCAGGAAAGGGCCGGGGAGGCAAGAAAAAAAAAAAAAAAACAGGGATGAGCGAACACTGGTGAGGAAGCCCAGGTTTCTATAAGGTTTAACTTGTGATCCCGCCAAGGGTAGCGAAAAGCAGGACTGACTACCTGAGAGGAGGGAGATTCTTAAACCCCTTTCCTTAGCCAAAGCAGTATCTCATCAGAAGAAACATCACTTTGGCTACAAATTTTTCCCAATCTCAACCCACCTGTCTCTTACCCATATTATTGTAAAGATGAAAATTCACATCTAGTGCTTTGGTAATTGCTCATCCTTGCTCAAAGGACATTGCCAGTTCTGAGTATCTCATGACCTTTAATCTTTAGGTATTCTAGATTTCCATACTTGTTAAAAGGAGAATTCATAAAGGAATTTTAACAGGAAATGTGGCCGACAAAGTGCTTGCTTTGAGATTCCGGCACCTGAGTTACCTGTCCTAATGTGAAATGGGGTTCAGTATGGCAGGAGGAGCACCTCAGGCTCTGGCGACAGACAGATCTAGCTGAATCCTACCTCTGCCATTTTCAGATGTGTGACCCAAGCAAGTTGTTTCCTGAGCCTCACTCTTCTCTCCTGGGAAATGGGGAGACTGTAGTACCTACCCCTTGGTGCTGTGGTGAGGATTAAATGAGATGATGTGTCTGAAGTGTTTAGCACAGAGCCTGCCGAGAAACAAATGCTTAATAAATACTGGCTGTTTCTGCCATTACTAACAATGATTTGCTGATATGTCACCGCTCCTACTTTTTGCTGAGCTCACAGTGGCCTGCTTTCAGTCACTGCCTCTCAGTTATACGTCTCGCTCACCAGAGTCTCAAAGTTCTGAGGATACGCCCCGACTGAAAACTGCCAGGTAGGAGAATCTGCCTGGGGTGTGTGTACATGCGGTCAGTGTGAAGACGGAGTGTGGCTTGGGATCACTGCTCAGGACTGAGTGTGGGTTGTTACAGGAGAAAAACAAATTACACATAGGAAGAATGCCTTCAAATCTGGATCCTTAGCATTTGTAATTCACTTCCAAGGGGCCTGGATTATATTAAGATTATTTCCCTGGGTATGCACCAAGCTTGAAAATTGGGAGTGTTTCTTTCTACCATAAATCTTAGGATCTTGGGAGATTTAAATACACATTTATGTCTTTTGTGGTAGGGGGAGTTGTCTCCTACGATGCTTTCCCTCCTGCATGGGTTCTCCGGTGGGCGCTGAAGTGGGAGCTATTGTTAAAGTCTTTGCCGCACTCCATGCACTTGTAGGGTTTCTCCCCAGTGTGTGTTCTCTGGTGAATAATAAGACTGGAACTCTGGTTAAAGCATTTCCCACACTCTCTGCACTTATAAGGCTTCTCTCCTGTGTGAATCCTCTGGTGAGTAATGAGGTTAGAACGGTCACGGAAGAATTTTCCACACTCGAGGCATTTGTAGGGCTTCTCTCCTGTGTGCACTCTCTGGTGTGTGATGAGCTTAGAGCGCTCACTGAAGCATTTCCCACAGTCCATACACTTATACGGCTTCTCCCCAGTGTGGGTTCGCTGGTGGTTGGCCAGCGTGGAGCTCTTACTGAAGCTTTTCCCACATTCAGCACATTCATATGGTTTCTCACCCGTATGGATTCTTTGGTGGCTAATGAGGGCAGAGCTCTTAGAAAAGGTTCTTCCACATTCAGAACACGGATACAGTTTCTCCTCTGAGTTGGTGCTGTGCGGTCCAGGGGAGTTCAAGTTCTTCCGGGCACTCTGAGGTTGTTCAGGAGACGTCTCCTCTGTCAAGTTCCTCCAGTGAGCACTAAAGGGTGGGCTCGGGCCACAGTTCTCCCCGGGCTCACTACAGTGGTCAGAATTTCCTCCCAAGTGGATCCTCTGATGTTTCAGAAGGTTTGAGCTCTGGTTGAAGCTTTTCCAACATTGCCCACATTTATAGGGCTTTTCCCCTGTGTGGATTCTCTGGTGGGTGACGAGATTTGAGTGGTCGCTAAAGCTTTTCCCACATTCGAGGCATTTGTAGGGCTTCTGTCCAGTGTGAATTCTCTGGTGGGTATTGAGGTTGGAGCGGTCACTAAAGCTTTTCCCACATTTGAGGCATTTGTAGGGCTTCTCACCTGTGTGTGTCCGCTGGTGGGCGATAAAGTGGGAGCTCCGACTGAAGCTTTTCACGCACGTGTCACACTTGTAGGGTTTCTCTGCAAGGTACAGGCCTTGATGGTCAATAAGTTTTTCTAAATCCTCTTCAGAAGAACATTCTTCCCACTGTTCCTGTGAGGGGTTTCCCCACTGCTCTTCACTTTCATTTTCATTTTCACTGTCTTCCCCCCAATCATGAGGGTGGCAAACAATTTCTGTGGTACATTTTGATAAGGCACCAGGCAAATCCTCAAAAATATCCTGCTCTGGATTCTCGTCTTCATCTTCATGCCTCATCTCAAAACCTGAAAGAATGGACAGAAATGCAGTTTTTGTTCATTCATTAGTTAGTGTCTATTTATGTCTCTATCTTGTGTCTTGTGAATTTGGCTAACATGAATTTGTATCTTGTATCTCACGTCTTATAAATGTGGCTAACATGAAATTGATCGAGTTTTGGTGCATACCTGCATTTCTCACCCGCAAAGCTGAGGAGCAGAGTCTAGTTACCCCATCAAGGGAGCCATGAGCCCTGGCCAAGCAGCCAGCCAGTCTCCCTGGCCAACTCCCCATCCCAATATTGGACAACGAACACCTCCTTCTTCTAGTACAGTCAGTGTGTCCTGTGTCATAGGAGACTGAATAAACTCCATAATTGCCCAAATGAATCCCAGTAAAATCTAGACCTGACTGCTTGTCTCAGTTGAGGGATTACACTAAGCTAGAGACTGCATAATCGGAGTAAGGCACAAATCTTCTTCCTATTCAATTCCATTCTGTTTTAGTTCAGAGACAAGATAATGAGCCTGGCTCCCTCACTGTCTGCATGCTTGCAGATTTTGTGGACATCCAATGACTCCAGGCTTACCAGTATCTGGGGTTTTGGGGCATGGGATTGGAGGTTTGATGGCATCTTCATCTGCGGTCTCATCCCAGGCCTCCTGCTCATCAGCCTCAGTACTGCTCTGCCCAGATGTAGGGAGGCCCACTGCCTCCCTGATGGTCCCCATGGCTCTGACCGCAGTCCGAGCCCTCACCAGCGAGTCCAGCTCCTCATAGAAGGGACAGGTCCCCGGCGGGTGGCTGCTCTTGGCTTTCCGGTAGCTTCGAAGGAGGTTTTTGAATCTGTAGCGACACTGCTCCAACGTCCGCAGGAAGCCCTGTGCACACAGCCGCTCTGCAATGGCCCGGTACACCTGGCTGTTCTGGTGACAGGTGCGAAGCTTTTCAGAGAATGGGGACTCACTAAGAATGGTCAGGAAGGCCTTGGTCTCCTCGTAGCCCCAGTGCACACCTGCTGTCAGGAGTGAAAAGTTCAGAATTGTGAGACTTAATGAACTTGCCTAGGTCATCAGGGATCGGGGTCACCTGCCCTGCTAAATGCCTAGAACACAGGCACCTCAGAAATTGTCCAGGTGCCTGAGGCATCAACAAAGAATATACCCTTCCTTCTCAGGGCTGTGCCACCACCACCACCACTACCCCTTCTAGGAGATTCTATTAACACTTAAAGAGTCTTGGCAGAAGGGGAGGACTTAGACGGCCATATTATACCAGGTGACCCCACTCCCCGGCTTCAGCTGATTGGTTCAGGGAAAGGCCTATAAGTAGGATACAAAAGACTCTATATCCATTCAATACTTGTCCTCTACTTACTTTTATGAATTTCCCTTTAAACAAACAATGGGAACAGGGAATCCCTCAAGACATGAATGGACTTCAAATAATTGCAATAGAGTCCAACCAAGGATGCCTTTCCACTTTTGTGGAAGGAAAAGGAAGTGGCCTACTGTCAGTTCCTCTGCACATGAATGATGCAGCCAGGCAGGCAGCATGGTGGACGGAAAACCACATGAAAGGGGGCTGGAGCCCTGGGCCCTGATCCTGACTCTGCCCCCTGCCTCACTGTGGGCCCTGAGAGAAGACGCTTCATCTCTTCAGCTTCAGTGTTTCCACTTTTACAATGACTGGGTGTTGCCCCAACACTGACTGTTCAACTATATATATACTGTCATGATTTCTGCTCTATCTGTTAAATATTCCACTCAGTATCTTTCTTTACCTAAATTTACTATCTGTGAAGTCATGGTTGATGTGTTCATACACATTAATGTTCACTCATCCCCATACCAGTGACACACTTTGGGAAATACTGAATTAGCTCTTTAAGGCCCCCTAGGATTTTAAAAGTGCTTGTGTCTATAACTGAGAAAGCTTAAACATGGAGAACTGACCATACGAGAAGAGAGTGGGCGTCTGAGGATGACCTAGAGAACTTAGCACCTTACTCCAGTAGCATCAATCCAGGCTTCTGTGCCCCGAACTCAGGGAGCAGAGGGTTTGGCTAGTAGGAGGGTTGGAATGTGGATCCGATTAAACCCGTGTTCTTACCAATACGACTTTGGAACAGAGCCGGACCGCCTGGAATCCTAGGCCCCTGGACGGACTCATCAGTGGCCAGGTCATCACCATTACAGGCTTCTGCTGTGTCCTCAGGCTCCCAGCCCCCTTCCTCCTGCTCTTCCATCTCTGCATCACTGTCCCCCAGCCTGGGAAGTGCCACAGGCTCTCCCGCTTCCTCTGTGGCTCTGATGGCGGTCCGAGCCCTCACCAGGGCCTCCAGCTCCTCATAGAAGGGACAGGTCCCTGGGGGGTGGCTGCTCTTGGCTTTCCGGTAATTCCGTAGGAGGTTTTTGACCCTGTAGCGACACTGCTCCAGGGTCCGCAGGAAGCCCCGTGCCCTCAGCCGCTCCGCAATGGCTCGGTACACCTGGCGGTTCTGGTGACAAGTCCGGAGCTTTTCAGAGAACGGGGATTCACTCAAAATCGCCAGGAAAGTCTTGGTCTCCTCATAGCCCCAGTGCACACCTGACACCTTCATGTCCTCCAAGTCCCATTGGTATTGTTCTTCCCAGGCCCTTGAGTCCCTCCAGGCCAATGCTGGAGCTGGTTTTGTTTGCTCCATATCCAGGCTGTAATCTGCAGTGTTCCTTTTTCCAGAATTTATAAGACTTGGGCCGAAAAATTCTGGTCCTTGCTCTCGCTGGGAGGTGATATTTGGTTTTGAAACTGGAACTCCTATATTAAAAGAAGCAGAGAAATGATTAAGTAGAAATGATCTCTTGAGCAGAGCGCCTGTCCAAAATGTCCCTGAAACATCATTTCCCTGGGAGAGGCTAATGAAAAATTCCCATGTTAATCCCTTCAATTGTCTTGCGGGTTAGAGAGAGGTAACTGGAGGTAACAGAATCACTTCACCAAAAACGTTAATTGAGCTGTTTGCTTTGTTCATTTGCTTTTTTATTCTTCTTATGAAACACATCATACAAAAGAGTGACGGTCATTGGTCCACAGATGGGCACATGACTTAAACTGGCCCAATCAGAATTAATTCACTGGTTGGAAGAAAGGTCTGTCTGTCTGTGTCTCCTCCCCACCCCCACCCCCTTTTCTCTCTGTATGTGTGCGTGTGGTGTGAGTCTCTTGCTAGGAAACTTGTGGACTCAACTGCACTGGCATCTATCTTTTGACTCTGACACAAAATAGCTTTAATATGAAGCTGAGGCTAAGGATGGCAGAGCAGAGAGAAAGATCACCTATGACATTGCTGAGCCAATTTGTACTGTGGTTGGAACATGCTCTCCTCTGGACTTCCAACACGTAATGTGGGACAATAAATTTCCTTATTTTTTAAAATAGTTAGCTACATTTAAGGGACACTTATACTGACAGCTCCCAAGCCTAACAAAATTGAGGTCTTTAATTAAAATAAATATTTGAAGGAAACTAGATGAAAAAGAGTTTAGAGCTAAAAGCGGCTTAAGGATTATCTAGTTCAACATTTCCCAAAGTTTGTCCCTTTGAATACTCTTTTCCCCAGACACCACGTGTAAGAAGGGGTTACACGGACAAGCAACTAGCCAACGAGGCTCTAGTATCTTACCTTACTGACATGGGTCAGGCCTATCATTGCCTCTTCTACTTTATCCCACTCTCGTGTCTAACTGCCCTCACACTGATCCCAGGCTCCACAGGGAAGTGGTTCATTATTATTTGACTTCCTGTGCAGATGTGCCTACAGACAAAGGAGTCTGTGCTGGTCACGTGGGCTTCAAGGATTTTCAGCCCTATGATATTCTCATTGCGGTTTAGTGCATCAGTTTCATGGGCTTTGTTCACTTGAGTCTGCCCCGGAGAGATGGATCCTGTTTGATGCTGAAAAGACTGGATTTCTGAGACAGCAGGCTGGCCCCAGCCCCTGCACCACGCTGAGTGTACCGAGGAAATGAAGATAACGAGCCCCGAGAGGGCGGGTTCTTGGAAGCCAACCTGCGAGCCTCCATCTGGGCAGACCGCACTCCCACACTCCATCCTGGCTTCCACAGTGTTGGCTACAGAAAGCACGTCTTCCTCCTATATCTGAAATTCCATCGATTCACAATTTTAAGGGAGTGATGAAATGCTCTTTGGGAGCTGAGTGTACCAGAAACCCAACATCTTCAGAGGGCACTGTTTCCTTACCCAGGGACACGCCGTTCCCACAGTTGTCTCCTGGGGGGTCCTTGCGAAACTCCTTCTCCACATGTCTGCCAGGGCCCAGGGCTTCCTGCGAGGTGTACAAGAGAGGGACCTCCAATGTCACTGATCCTTGACCAGAGCCTGGGAACCCTACCCGGAAAGACAATGGGAATCCAGGAATATCATGTGTGATATCATAGGGAACAGCATGACCAAGGAGAGGCCCAGCAGACGGGGGGCAAGGAGGAGGCGAATGCCCTGAGTCTTGAGCCCTTTTGCTGAGGTGAGGCCATGGAAAGAGAGGATGTGCACAGGTGCAAGAGCACAGGAAAAGTAACGAAAGGAAAGGGAGACCCAACAGCAGCTTACCTGAGACTCAGCTGTCACCTCCCAATCGCCAACGCTCCCCATCTTTGGGAGAGTAGGGGCTCGGGGAGTGAGGACAGCTAAGGAGAAGAAAAAGTCTCTGAAACCCAAGCTCTGGTTCCCAGAAAACCACCCCCCTCTCAGATCCAGCTTTCCAAAAGCCATGCGTGGGTCAAACTAAGACTATGCCTGGAGCCCCGGCAGTTGCCCCTGTTCCTTCCCTTCTAGAGTACCTGGCTCCTAGAGTGATGTGTCATGTGAGAAATGCCAGCCCGAACGCCTATGATTACCACCTTGCTTCAGGTTCACCTGCTTGATTCAGCGATGTGTGTGTGTGTGTGTGTGTGTGTGTGTGTGTGTGTGTGTGTGTGTGTGTGTGTGTGTGTGGGGGGGGGGGGGGGCGGTTGGCGAGCTAACATCGTTGGGAATGTCATCTTTTTTTGGAATGTTTATCTGCCTTACTTCTTAGTGTGTCCATCAGACACTACTCCATCCCTTGCCTTGAAATCTGTACATCTCTCTTCCCCATGTACCCTTCCTTACCAACCCCCTCACCCCTCTTCCCTGATGTTCCCTGATTCTTAGTACTCACCACTCTCTTTCAAGGTCTGAGGCACCATCTTGGTGTCAAGATGCATGGGAAGGTCAGGGCATGGATTCTTCACCCACTGCCTCTGGGACTGTCCCTTGGGCCAGTGATCCATTGGCTGCAGCTGAGAGCTCTGAGGTTCCTGCATTGCCTTTAAGGGCCTGGTCTCTTCTGCACACAAGTCCAGTTCCTACACACAGATGGTCAAAATTCCCAATTGTCAGTTCAATAAGACCAATTCTGGTAGGAAGGGCGGGCAATTTTCTGTTGAGCATAACTGTGGTCCAGAGGTTAACAGGCTCTTTTTAAGTCCTGAAGATGGCTCAGAGTATGACGACAAAGCCATCAGACTGACTTGAGTAAAAAGACTATAAATTATACCACTAAATGACTAATGTCTTGTTCAACACAGGGAGGCTATACAAGTGTCTCAGTGAGGCCACTCCTGTCCAAAACATTTTTAAATCATAAAGATATAAATTATGTAAAAATTTTATGACATTAAAAAATAATCTCTAAACATCAAAACAGGGTGTTTAATTTTTTTTTTTTTTTTAGCTGAGCCATCCTGCCGCCTGTTGGCAGCTCAGCGGCTGCTCAGCTCAGGCTGGACTCGAACCGCTGTTGCTCAGAGTTCAAATTCTTGAGCAAGCTCTTAAACAACTGAGCCACTCGGCCGGCCCTCAGGGTGTTTAATTTTTAAGTTATCAAAAAAAAAAGAAGTACCCCCACCCCGCCCCCATGCTATCTGCCCAGTTTCTTCCTCTACCCCTCCCCACAGGTAACCACTGTTCTGCATCCTTTCAGAGTTTCTTTATGTTCAAGCAACTGTAGATATACATTCTTATTTCTTCCCCATGTTTACACAAAAGGTAGCAACTATATATATTCTCTGAACCTTATTTTTTTACTCAAAATAGTAACATCCATCTTCATCAACGTATTGATTTTGCCAAACTTATCTCCAAAAATCTTTCGGCTGATCTCAAAATGAGGACATTTACCATTAAGAAGATATATAGGAATGGGCCATGAGCCTCAAAAGCCATTCCAAACAAGGAGCTCCACCAATGTCCTGGGTGGTTCACAGGGAGAAAAAAATTGCTTATCAACATTCTTATATGGTTAAGGGAAAAAGAAAAAAACTCACTTTGTTATAGTTACAATCTTACAATCTACAGTAGAACTATGCGACTAGACTCCACAACAAGACTCCACAACAATCCTCACTCCCTGCCCTAGCTCCTTCAGCTGCTGCCATGCCTAAGTGAAGATTCTGATTCCATGGATGGTAACAGAGGACACAGGAAGAAGTGGATTCAAGTGGCAATAAGGAGGAAAGCATTGATAGGACCCTGGCTGGGGTAGGAATGAATGAAGGATCCATCAAAAAGGCCTGCGCACCACAAAGAAGTCTGCATGTGGATGTTTACAGAAGCTTTATTCATAATTGCCAACGCTTGGAAACATCCAAGATGTCCTTCGGTAGGAGAACACATAAACTGCGGTGCATCCAGACCATGAAATATTATTCAGCTCTAAAAGATGGAACTGCAAAGCCATGAAAAGACATGGAGCAAATTTAAATGTATATTATAAGTGAAAGAAGCCGTTATGAAAAGGCAAAACTATGAAGACAGTAAACAGATCAGTGGTTGCCAGGGGTTGAGGGGAGGGATGAATATATGGAGAGCACAGAGGAGTTTTGGGGCAGTGAAACTATTCTGTATGATACTATAATGGTGGGTAAAGTCATTATACAGAATGTACAACACCTATAGTGAACCTTAAGGTAAACTACGGACTCTGGGTGATAATGAGGTGTCCGTGCAAGTTCATCGATTGTAACAAAGGCACCCCTCTGGTGGGTGTTGACAATGAAGAGGACTGTGCAGGTGTGGGGGCAGGAGGCACGTAAGAACTCTCTGCACTTTCTGCTCAATGTTCACAGCTCTTCTGTAAACCGAAAACTGCTCTAAAAAATAAAGTCTATTAATGTTTATGTACCTGATGGGGTTCTGCAAAAGGGTGATGCCATAATCAACAAGCTAAAGAATTACAGATGGAATTCTTCAGCACTAAAAGACAGAGCTATGAAGCCATGAAAAGGCATGGAGCAAATGAAAAACAACAGAGCTGAAAGATCTCTTTAAGGAAACTCTCTCAGAGACCATTCAGCTCAGAAGGCATCAACCTTTTTCAGGTGGTGATTCTCTCTGAGGAACATAGTTAATATATTTGATTCCATTACTAAGACTTGGAAAAATGTTACTTGCAGAGAACGTAACTAAGTTATGTACCTTGCAATGTAAGATCACAAGCTACAACATATATGTCTGGGGAAAAAATAAGCTCCTTTGCTCCTTATCCATGCGTTTCGACATTTGCGAGCACTCAGGAGCAGGTAGGAAAATATGAAGAACAATGTACAAAGATGACTTGGAACCTGAGCTTTGTGAAGCACCTGACTTTTAGCGCCTTACGAGTAGTTTAATCTATAATAATGAGGACAGTCAATGCTATTTCCGTCTACCTATATTGCTGCTGTAAGCATCGAAACAGATCACATACGTGATCTTAAGTATAGAACACAATACAAACCAACTGTACTGTGAATACAGTGCTAGTAGGCAGTTTGGAGCAGTGGTTATGAAGGCTGGCTAGAGTCAAACGGCCTGAATTCAAGTTCTGGCTCTCCCACCTCATAGCTGTATGACCTTGAGCCAATTACCCACCTTTTCTCTGCCTCAGTTTCCTCATTGGTAAAACTAGGATAATCAGTACCAATCTCTTTAAATTGCTAACAGGATTAAATTAGTTAATACATGGAAAGCTCTTAGAACAGTGCCTGTTAGCCAGTGCTGCTCAGTAAATGTCAGTTGCTCGATAACAATAATGATTATTATTTTGGCAGTTATTAACCTAGTCACAGCCCCTCCACCTTGCCGACCCACTCCTTGGAGAACAGACCGTTTGCCTCACCCGTTGTCCTGCAGCCCGGGCCTCTCGGTGCCAGTCCTCCACCAGGGCCACTGCCTCCTCGCCGCTCTCGGGGTGGCGCGCTTGCACCCAGGCCTGGGCCTCCCTGGGTAAGATGGTCAGGAACTGCTCCAGCACCAGCAGCTCCAGGATCTGCTCTTTGAGGCGGATTTCCGGCCTCAGCCAGCGACAGCAGAGTGCCCAGAGCTGGCTGAAGGCCTCGTGGGGTCCCGCTGCATCCCTGTACCGGAACTGCCTGAAGCGCTGGCGGGAGGCCTCGGGGCCAGGGACAGGGTCATGGTCCTTCTCCCGGGGTCTGGGCTCTGATCTCCATGCGTCCTCCTCCAGTTTCACAATCAGGAGTTCTTCAAGCTCTGCGGGGGGAGAGGCCTGGGCCTGGGATTCCAAGACTACAGCCATGCTCTATCCTGGAAGCCTCACGTCAGCTGGGCTGTCTGCAGCCAATGTCTTTCTGCATCTATGATGTGTCCTTCAAGGGGCTCCTGGGAGGGGAAACACTTCCCAAGGCTCTGAAGGCAGGAAGACAAAGGACAGAGTGAGCAAGAGGACCCAGGAACCTTGCTTTCCTCACTCCCCCCATCCCCACCACTGCCTCACATGGGGTGGGGATGCTAAGAGATGCCCCTTTCCCATAAGCTGGAACCACAAACTGGCACCAAAACCAGCAACCAGGACACTGGAGGGAGACAGCACAGTGTTAAATCCTCTGGGACACGCTAGATGCCTCAGCCTGGCATCAAGGCCTCTGCGATCTGGTCCCAGCATGGCCTTCCTCCCTCTACACGTGTCCGAAGGCTGACCTTCCCTCGAGTTGGACCCAAACATCCCCCCTCCAGCAGGCTTTTCTTCCTGGGCCTTAGAGTGTTAGTCTTCCTCTAAGGCTGCTCTCCTCGCCAAACCCCTCTCTCACTCTACACTCCTCCTTGGTCATTCTACCCGTTGGGCAGTTTTCACCATCTCTTTGATTCCTAAAACTCCAGCCAGGACCTGTCTCCAGACCCCCAAATCCAACCACCTACAGGACATTTCCACTTGACCTTCTCACAGGTACCTTGAACTCAACGGGTCAAAGCCTGATTTCATCACGTTCTCCTGCAAGCCTGTCCTTGTAGAGTTCTCCACCCAACGAAGGCAGCACCTTCCAGCTAGTTCGCCACGCTGGAAACCTGGGCATCGTCTTTCTCCATGATCCCCCACATCCAATTCACCACCAAGCTGTGTCCGCTTGGCCTTCTAAGTATCTACATTCCCAATGCCACCGCCTCGGTCCAGAGAACCATCATGTTTTACCACATGATCAGCCTCCTAACTCGTGCCCTGCCTCCACTCCCCTCACCCCAACCCCTGCTCCATTCTTTGCACAACAACATTCTTTGCACAACATTCTTTGCAGACAACAGCAAAATCTGACCATGTCACATCCCTGCTCAACACCGTTCCATGAGCTCCCGTTTCGCTCGGGATAAAGTACAAACCTTGCCCAAGTCTCCCCCTCTTTTCTTTACCATGCTCCCTCGAGTCACGGTGTTTCAGCTGCATAGCTTGCAGCTCCGGCACCGTGCTGCCCTCGGAACGCTCCCACACGGTGGGGTCTCCTTTGGGGACAGTCTCCTCCGTGTCTTCACTTAGCTAGGCTCAGCTTAAATTGTACTTTTTCCAAGAGGCCCTCCCTGTTCCCTGAGACAAGATCCAGGACTCAGCCACAAGCTTCATGCCACCTTATGATTTCTGTATCGTTACCCTGACCGTCCTTTATTATAATTATCTACCCACTAGCTCACAGGCTTCCTAAGGGACCCAGCACAGTGCTCAGCGCACACAGGAAGCACTCAGTAAATGGTGCAAAAATGGTCAACAAATGATGGTGACGTGTCATGCAGGATTATAATTAATCCCTTTCTGTGCACACTGGATAAAAAAAGAATGACCTTCTTACTCCTGCCAGAGGAATTCTTTTCTCTTTATTTCCATCTCTGTGACACTTTCGACTTTCTAGGTTGTATCAGAGGGATCTATGTACACGTGGGTATCCCCAGAGAGATTACAGCCTCACTGAGGGCAAGGATTATAGCTTACTTTGTGTTTCACACCCTTCCTAACCCCACACCCACAATAAGCACTAAACACAGGAGGCTCTCAGTAAATGTTTGTTGGGTGAACGTCTGGGGCTGCTGCCTACACAGTGAAGACGCTGACAACACTCATGCTGGGTTATCCAGAAAAATGAGCTCTCTGTGTCATTCCCAACAACTCTAGATGACACAAAAAATGCCCGCTCCAAGAAGGCTGTTAGCCGCTTCCAAGTGGGAATAACACAGCTGAACTGAAAATGGACGGAGGGTGGTTATTTTGATTTTAGGCCATCTGACTGGACTGTCTGGAAATAAGGCAAGGGTGAAGAAAAACAAAGGCTTGTCCTAAAGACCTCCGCTTCCTTAGGGAGAGGCTAGGAACACAACTCATGACCACCTAGCAACTTCCTGCTAGTCCTTCAGCTATTAGCTCAATGTCACATCATCGGTTAAGAGTTCCTTGCCGTGCTCCTGTCACCATGCCCCCACCCCTGCTCTCTAAGAATTGCCTCCCCAGTTCTGTGTTCCCAAAGCACCTGGCACGGACCTCTAATACAGGTGTTATCCTACACTATTGTAGTTACCTGTTTTTACATCCGACAGGCCCCCATTAGATTGCATTACTATATTGTACTCATTTCTGTATCCATGGTGCCCAATTCAGTGTTTGATAAATAGCAGGGTCATTGGAAGTTCTGTTGCCTTTTATTAAAATAGTAACTTTAGTACATTAAAAACCTAATGGGCTATGAAGGTCCATAATTCACATTAAGCTCAAGAATTAACCTTGCATGAAAGTTCATTTTTAAGCACAACCCTAATCATGCACTAGTCGAAACACATTTGTGTCACTCTCTCACACAAGGACTAATTTACCAGTCACCTACCGAGTCCCACCACATGCCCTGCACTGCAGTGGGAGCTACAGAGCCAATAGTAACTAGGACAGACCGTCTCCACCTGCATAAAAGTTACAGTCTCATAAGAGAGACAGCCAATGAGCAAGCGAAGAAGTGTGTGTTCCTGCACAGAGACCACCACAGCAAAACGGGCAGATAGTAGTTCCACCAGACCCAAAGCCCAGAGTCTCAGGTAACAGGTATTTTCTTCTGGGGAGACTTGAAAGTCCCAGAGGCTATTTTCCAATACCAATCTGAATGATTTTTCTGCTACCCTCTTGGACAGATATGAACAGCAACCTGTCCACAGAGGGAGGTCAACACAGTCGGCTAAGAGCAGGGTGACTTCACAGAGGAAACATGGACAAGGGCACTCCTCAGTCCTGAGACTCTCAGGAGCATCAGGGCCTCACTAGGACCAGCAGCCTCAAAGAGATGCCATTTACTGAGCACCCATGAGGTGCCAGAGCCGGTGCTAAGTCCTACACATTCATAATCTCACTGACTCCTCTAGGCAAGCAAGTGAAGTGTCGTTAGTGTTGAGCTGCGTTACACTGGTCTGTAACTTACACATATTAAACTACACACAAACACCAGGAAGAGAAAGGACATCATTTAAACAGAGCACCAGTTCCTTTCACTATGTGTCTATGCCAGAGTGAGCATGCGGTGAGCATACCCATGACTCGGCTGGTCCCCAGGTTGGTCTGAGTTCCCTCAAGCCTCTTTCCTCTGAGTGTGAGCAGAGCATCTTTCACACAGTGTGCTCCCCAGTCAGAGGACAGCTCTTTCATCTAACGTTCAACCAAGAAAACCCAGCTATGCTGGTCAGCTTACTAAAAGACAGGATAATTGGTTCTTAAATGGCTCTTTGCCAAAGGAATTTCAAGCTGACTGTGATTTTTGGCCAAATTTAATTTTCACCATCCGTGCTTTTAGAATATCATTATCCTGTAAGGAATGACTCCACTATATCCTCAATTTACATATAGGGAACTGAGCTTCTATGAAGATTCCCTTAAGGTTACACTAGCAAGTGGTAGAGTTGGAATCTAAACCCAGATTTCTTTTCTCCATTTTTTTTTTTAACCACACCACATAGCCTCCCCTATGATCTGACAGTCATCCAAACTCTTAAGATGGTACAGAGAGGAGAAAAAACATTAAGGCGGGAGTGACCAAATCAGGGTTCTAGTTCCACTCCTGCCACTTATCAGCTCTGTGACTTTGGACAGGTCATGTGGCTTCGGCAGCTGCCTACCTAGACTGCCGCTTATATAGCCTCACCCTACTCAGTTGCCCAAATAGTATGATGGGAGTAGAGCAAAGGGACAGAGAGATTAGAATCAATGGTTATAAATTTAAGTGGCCACAGAGGCCAGACAATGTAAATGAGTAAATCAGGGATCATGGCTACTACAGAGCACCCAAGGGACCACTGGCCCAGTATCAGCAGACCTTCTAATTTTTCTGAGAAGCTAAAATTCTGGATCTTTAAATGTTGGCAACCAAATCAAAATTGTTTCAGACACCATTAGGATTAAACAGAGCATGATGGTAGGCTTCATTCAGCACGGACTGTCACTTTGCCACCTTTCAGCCGAATGATCTCAAAGGTCTCTTCCAATACCCAGGAAGACCTAGAAAGGGTACAGATTCTCCTAAATAATGACGGGTAGGTGTTGACTGCTGTCAAAATCAGGATCCCTTTGCAAACACAGGGAAGCCGAGAGGCATCCTGGCTTCTGGGGTAGTGAGTGTGGACGTGGACATGAAGAACCCACCCCGTGGGATGGGAAGAGAAGGTCTGCCCCAGTCCCGTGGGAAAGGTATGTGACCGCCACAGAGAAAGAAACTGGGCGTTCCCCAGAGCTGCCAAGCTCACTTGGCTAACCGGGCTATTGCTTACGTAGCCTGAACGCACACGTAAGGGCTTAAACCAGGGAAAGCAAATACGTTTCATTTAAAGCACCAACTTCAGTCAATTGAGCTAAGGACTCTGAATCCCATGTGAATATGTGCTGTGACCAATCATCAGACTGCCAGACACGGGAAGGGGAAATGGCAGCATACATTACATGTATTCGCCACTCCTAGCTTAAACTCCCACGGGCATTGAAATAGCTTCCTGCAAAAACAGCGCTGATAGAAGATTAAAGCTCTTGCCCTTGGAAATCCACTGGAATAGCAGTCTTCGAGCCTGGTAAAACAAAACTCACCCTGGATGGCCTTTAGTCACACATTCATCAAGTATTTACTACTCTGGGCTGAAAACAGAGGTGACTCAGAAACTTCCTGTCCTGGAGATGCTTACAGTCTAGTGAGAGACACAAAAAAAATGTGCTAAAAGAGAGGTCTGTGGGAGCAGGGGGTGGCGGGCGACTTTATCTGCTTAAGGCAATTGAACAAAATAACATTTGAGTTGGTTCTTGAAGAAAGAATAGTTTTCTTGGCAGAGAATGGGGGTAGGGGAAAGTGTATTCTAAACAAAGAGAGCGGCATATACAATGGAGGAAAACCAAACCACCTCCCCAAGAAATGGGGGAAACCTTGACAGCCCTAGAGTGTGGAGTGCATGAAGATTAGGCTGCAAGGTAGTTTATGAAGGGTCTTGAATATCAGGCTGATGAGTTTGGATTTAATTCTATAGGTGATGGGTGCCTATTATGAAGGTTTTAAAGCAGAAGGCATAATCAGATTTGTAGATTAAGTAGATCACACTAGCCACAATGTCCAGGCTGGGGGATGAAAAGACAGAGGCTTTAGCAAAAACCCTGATAAGGAAAGGACAGATTCAAGATACATTAAGGAAACTGAAAGATCGGAAGATCCCTGGAGGTGGAAGAACGCAAGAGGAATCAGAGGGCACCTGGGTAATGTGGATGATGGGGTCATTCACCTCCATCAGGCATACGGAAAGAGGTGCAGGTTTGGGGACGAAGAGAGAGCCAGTCGCACCCACTGGGGACCAGAGGTCACAATCATTAGAGAAAGTGTAAGGGGGTATCAAATTAGATGTTTGTCTGGGTTAGCTGGTAGAGACTGGAACAGTATTTTTAAGGTTGGGGTTCAAGCCCAGGCCCTCTTTATCTTTACTTGCCAGGGCCCCAGCACCCTCTATCCTTCCCTCTGTGATCTCCAGACCCTTCTGTGACCTCCCACCTCCAGAACCTCTCTCGTGGTCCTCACCTACAGACAGACCTAAGACCCTCCTCACTCCCAGGGCCCTCTATCTCTCTCATCATCCCCAGCCCCTCTATGACCCTTCCCATCTCCGGACGCTTGATCCCCTGACCGTCCCTCACCCACCACCCACACATCAAAGCTTCTTTCTCCCCCTCTCACCTTCCCTGCCCCCCTGTGACACCACCACCTCCTAAGTCTCCAGCTCAGAGCCTGAGTCTCAGCTGCCCCCGCCCCGCCACCCGGACTCACCCACCGAGACACCCACTTCACAACGGGGCGGAAGTGCTCCAGGGTTGCGCAGGGAATGCTGGGACGCGGAGTCCGCACGGCGCCACCCCGGGAAAGGAGCGTCTAAGACTACAACTCCCAGAAGGAACAGCGTGAGCGCCCCCTCCGTTTGCTGCCCTTCAGATGTCGTCAGCCAATCGCTGTGTCATCTTATCCCGGTCCCCGGACACCGGAACAGATCGGAACAGGTTCTAAGCGTGAGGGCGAGGCCTGTTGGGATCCCGGTCCCTTCCTCAGGCTCTGGAATAACGGCACCGCCCAGTGGGCGGGCACTCAATCCGAAGGGGCGGGGCTCGTTGGCGGGGAGAAGGTAGAGCCTTAGGACCGGGAAAGATCAAAGCAAAAACAATAAGTAATAAGGAGAGAGGGTGATTAGAGGTGAGCCGACTGGTGGGCAGAGGAGAGTAGGACTATCGTAGGTTCGATTGCCAGCTCACGGTTAAGCTGCGTGACTTTGGATCAATTGTGAACCTCGCTTTCTTCACCTGTAAAGCGAGGATAATAATAGCATCCGAATCGCCGGGGTATATTTTTCCTTTTTTTTTTTAAGATAATTTATTGAGGTGACTGGTTAGTAAAAGTATATAGGTTTTAAGCATACATTTCTATAATATATCATCTATATATCATATCGTGTGTTCACCACCCAGTCAGTTCTCCTTCTGTCACCATATATTTGACCTCCTTTTCCCTCTTCTACCATCCCCCTCCCGATTTCCTTACTCTCTTTGATAAGACTTTTTGTGAGGCTTCAATGGATAATACACCTAAAACCATTAGCTCAGAGCCTGGGTCCTAATAATACACCTAGAATGTTAGCTATTATTATGTAAATGTGCTAGTACAGAACTTGGCACTTAGTGGTTATCGGAAGAATGTTAATCATTATTGAAATAATGTGAATAATTTTAATATAAATGCAGTTGCTTTTTACTATTGTAAATACTTTGGAGTATGAGCAATCTAATATGGGGTGGAGGATGTGGATTTGTAGTCAGACTTGGATCCAGAACCCAACCTAAATGCTTCCTAGCTGTTGCTGCCTGCCTTAAGTGCATCACCACATCCTTTTTGTCTTTGCATTTTTCATCTTTAAAATACAGGTAATATACTATTGGGTTGTCAGGAAAGTCAAGACGTATGCTTTTCCATGTTTTTCATTGCAAAAATGCGTCATGACTTTTCCTACAACCCAATATAATCTATATTGCAGGTGTTGTGAAGATTAAATGAGATAATGCAGGTAAAGCATGGACTCTGGAGTTAAGCTGCTTGTGTCTGAAACTTATTATTTTCAAATGCAGGATGTAGGCCTTGCCACTCACTAGTTGTGAAACCTTGGGCAAATTTCTTAACCTTTATGCCTCAGTTTCCTCATCTGTGAAACGGGAGTTAAAATAATGGCATCTACTTGACAGGATTTGGGAGAAATAAATGGAGAAAGTATATAAAGGGTTTGGTACATGGCTAGCACAATGAGTTTAATAATTATTAGGTATTATTATTTTTACTAATGGTTATGAGACTTTGGGGAAATTGACAGTTCCTGGCATATGGCAAGTGCTCAATACATGTTAACTTTGTTAAAATTAGGGGACTTCTATATCTTAGTTAAAAAGACCTAGTCAAAGTCCTCTATGAAACATGTTCCAACTTATTTATAGTAATAACTCATGTGATTTTACTCAGCGAATGGAATAGCAACCTATAAGCACTCTGTTATTGAAGTCTTATAACAGCCCTATGAGGTAGACATTATTACCCCCAATTTACAAAGAAGAAACGGGGTCTTGGACAGATAAAGTGACCTCCTCAAGATCACATAGCCAGTAATTGCCAAGGCTGGGATTTGAACTGCTGAACATGTGACCCCAAAGGTTTCTTCTCAGCCCCACACTGCATAAGGAAAATATCATGGGGTTGAGGAGTGGGGTGGCCATGGGTTGTGCCTGGGGAGAGAGACAGGGCAGCAGTGTGAGGTACTAGAAGGGCTGGAGACATTTGAGAGAGTGTCAAGATCTGAAGCTGGAAAGGCAAATTTGCAGGGTCGGGTAAGGACGTTCCTTTCAGGATCATCTGCCCTCCTGAGGAGAAGCGATGGAGATGAGGATGCACAGAGAAAGAAAGACGCCATTAGGACACTAGAGGGCGCCCTCGCCCTAAACCCAGCCTGGAATTGTTCTTATGGTTTCCTTTAGCCTTTGTCTAATTAAAGCCTGGCATTTTACAGAAGCGGAAAACTAAGGCCCCAAGAGGCCAAGTGCCCCTGCCAGGTGTCATATAGAAATTAACAGCAGAGACTGAACCAGACCTCAGTTCTCAGCTTCAGCAGCCATCAAGATCCTTTTCTGTCCAGTTATCTAGCAAGACATTCTCTGCTCTGGGCCAGCACTAGGCTCTAAGGATGAAGAGATTAATTAAATTAGGTCCGTGTCCTCAGGGTCTGATCTCCAAACTTCCCCAATCAAGTTTCCTATTAGTAAATTAGGACTGTTTCCTATTAGTAAAACATTTTTGAGTGCATTCCCAACATATGCATATTTACTTATGAATGATATGCACGTGCATATATAATGACATGAAAAGCTAACTCTGAACATTTACACTGCGTTATTAGATCCTACTCTCAGTGTTTTATACATGTTATCTCATTTAATCCTCACAAAACCCTTTGAGGGAGGGTCTAATACTATCCCATAATGCAGAAGAGGAAACTGAGGTACGGAAGTTAAATAACATAACAAAGCCATATGGCTAAAAAGCAGACAGGCTAGCCTCCAAATAAAATGAGATATAAAAAAATAGAAATAGAAGTTTTAACATTAGCTTCCTAAGCCCTAATGCTTCATCTTATGCATCCCCCTTTGGAACCACTGCACTTGGGGCCCCCAGACCTATGAGGGGCCAGTACAGTGTGATCAGTACTTTGAGAAAGGGAAGTGCAGGAAGTTGTGGGAACCCAGAGGCTGGGAAGTCAAGAATGGCTTCTGGGGAAAGTGGTGGCTGGGCTGAATCTTAAAGGATATGTAGTAGTTCCCCAGGAGAAAGAAACTGGAGGGGGAGGATCAGCACATGCAAAGGCCCAGAGGCAGGAGTGTCTGGTGTTCTGGGAGCTACAAGCACTTTCACATGGCTGGAGCGCAGAGTGCCAAGGGGGTGGGTTCCCATCCCAGTGCTGCTATGAGGCTCAAACAAGATGATAGATATGACCAGACTTCATGTTTTTATTGAGGGAACAGGCTAATCAGTTGGCTGCCTCCTGGGCAGCATCCCAGCTTTTTGGTCCTCAGCTGCCAATTCCTCTATAACCCAGATGGCAAAAGAGGCCTCTCTGCCCCATGAAGATCTGGTTGAACTTGACATGGACCCCACTCCATAGCTTAGGAATATTCAGAACCTTCCTTCCTTTCCCATACTCTCCCTGAGTCCCCCACCCACCCCACCCCACCCCCTCACTTTATTTCCTCCAGGCTACAGTTTTCATGACCCCAGCATCTTCACTCTCTTCCTCATGTGGGTTTCCATCAAAAAACAAAAAGTCCAATTAAGCCAATCATTTCATGGATTTAGTCAATTTACTAAGTATGTGGATATCTTGAGATCACATCACATACCACAGGGCCACCTGCCCTTCCCCAAGTTTTCTCATTCAGCCTCCAGAGCCTTCCCAAAGCCTGTGTTCGCAAAGCCACCAGTGGCTCCTCCCTCATATCCAGAACCCCCACATCCCACCAGAAA